CACTTTAATCTGTAAATACTTATATTTAGAGACTACTTTTCTATGAAGTAGTTTGGTGTTATAGAATTAATTTGAAATATTCTACTATATTAATAAAAATTCATTTAATCTATGGATATTTATTTATAATCTACGTTCATTTTGTACACCATTTTCGTGTGAATGTTATTGTGTTGATTTTTGGATTTTTCTAGTTTTTTAGTAAAGTGTGTTATTATAAATTTGTAATGAAAGTTTTTGTGTGAATGTAATTTATCTTTTTACGTAAATAATTTCGAGTGATATATAGAAATAATTGTGATTTTCACGCTGCCGACATGCGCTTGGTGTGTGTGTTTTTTTTTATTATCAAAATACAATAAAATCCTTTTGTAATGAAGTAAAACCTGACTTTTGTTTAGACCACAGGATAGAGAATTATGTATAGATTTTATAAATCCAAACTTCTTCATATAAAAGTATTCTTTAAATATAAGTTTTAATGGTTTAAAGGGGCCAAATCCTCCCCCCATCAACATGGTATCAGAAATAAATGCACGACTACCCCGGGAAGGAACCAGTAACCCTGGAGAATCCCTCGCTGCGCATCAAAGGCGCCCCCCGCCACGCTATCCGTGAATTCCTGCAACATCAGGGGACTTCATTCAAAACTTAACGCCGTCCAGATGGCTACAGATTCCGTCCTACGACAGATCCCATCCGCAGGGATCGTGATACTTGGTGATTTTAGCGCCCACCACGTTGAATGGCTTAGTTCTCGTCTGCGGGTAGACTGTTTATGACTTTGCTTTGCCATGTGGTCTGATGCAACTGGTTATTACCTCGCTTACGAGGATTCCAGATGTGGAAGACCATGTACCTTCCCTGTTGGACTTTTTGCTGACCTCTCATCCGGACGAATATCAAGTTTCTGTCCGATACCCCTTTTAGCTACTCGGACCATTGTCTGATCCGGAGTACGGTGCCACTCACGCTCTCATTGCGGTTGCGTACAGCAGGTTGCCGCCGTGTTTGGCATTTTAGGTCAGCAGATTGGGACAGGATACGATCTTTTATTGCATCCTACCCTTGGAGGCGGGTTTGCTTCTCGCCGGATGATCCTAGCGCTGTTGCTGATTCTGTCGCTGATGTAGTGCTACAGGGAATGGAACTTTTTATTCCATCATCTGTGGTACCTATCGGAGACAGAACCCAGCCTTGGTTTGGTCGCTTCAGCAAAATTGCACTACGTCATAAGCAAGAGTGCTACCAGGTCTGGGCTCGCGCATCGACGTCTCGGGATGCAAATACTAGCGCTCTTAAAAAGAAGTACAATTCTGCCTCCAGGTCCATCCTTCAAACGATATGTGTCTGCTGTCTGCTGCAGTGTGTTGCTTCGGATTTGGCACCGGTTTTAACGCGTCTTTTCCGGTGCTCTTCGGCGTAGTCCCGAAATCATGGAAGACAGTCCTTGTGCACCCGTCCTTAAACAAGGTAACCGCTCTGATCCGTCCAACTATAGGCCTATCGCCATCACCTTGTTCTCTAAAATAATGGAATCCGTTATTAACAGCCAGCTCATACGCTACCTTGAAGATTCCCAGATGATTAGTGACCGCCAGTACGGTTTCCGTCGCGTTCGCTCGGCTGGTGAACTTCTGGGTTACCTAACTCATAAATGGGCTGAGGCAGTAGAGTCCAAAGGTGAGGCGTTGGCTGTTAGTTTGGACATAGCGAAGGCCTTCGATCGGGTTTGGTACAAAGCGCTTCTTACGAAGCTTCTTTCCTATGGGCTTCCCGAGAAATGGTGCAATTGGTTCACCAGTTTTCTTGCTGATCGGAGCATCAAGGTCGTAGTAGACGATGCATGCTCCGATTATAAGCCCATTGACGCTGGTGTTCCACATTCATACACCGGCTGCGTGCTATCACCAACGCCATTTCTTCTGCATATCAATGAATGTTGCAAACCGGTAACATTCATTGCTACGCAGACGACAGCACTGGTGATGCTTTATACACCGGCCGTGCCAATATTTGTACCGGGACAAACTTGTGTCTGAAGTCGAAACTTTCTTGAACAGTCTCGGACTAGGGGCGACTAAATCTAGTCCAGTTTAATCAGAATCTCAGAAGACACAAGTTTGCGCGTTTACCGCTAAAAAGAACCCCTTCGTCGTATCTTTTCGGTTTCAAGCAGGCGCATTTTTATTTCCCCCTTTCTTGCCTCAGTCTGTATCGGAATCCTCGGCGTGCACATATCGAGTGACGTGCAATTTCGTGGTCACTTGGAAGAGAAGGCCAAATTAGCCTCTAAAAAGCTTGGCGTACTCAGCAAAGCGGGACAGTATTTCATTCCGGCTCACCGCCTGCAACTTTACAAGGCGCAGGTTCAGCCGCACATGGAAAACTGCTCCCATCTCTTGGCGGGGGCTCCCCAGTGCCAGCTCCTTCCATTTTATCGCATCCAGCGCAGAGCTGTTTGGATCTTCGGCGACCGAGTTCTTTCCGATCGGCTTGACTCACTGGCACTACGAAGAGATGTTGCATCTCTTTGCATATTTTATCACATCTACCATGGTGAGTGCTTTGAGGAATTGTTCGGACTAATTCCAACCGCACAACTTCGCCATCACACATCGCAACAAAACTCGTGATACCACCCATAGCATCTGGATGACTAGCGGTCCACCACCGTGCGATTTAAAAGAAGTTTTCTTCCTCGCACAACTTCCTTGTGGAATCGACTACCACCAGAGATTTTTCCGGACCGATACGACCTAGGGACCTTCAAGAAAAGAGCCTACTCTTTTTTAAAATGCCGGCAACGCATCTGTAATTCCCCTGGTGTTGCAGTTGTTCATGGGCGGCGGTAATCACTTACCATCAGGTGAGCCATATGCCCGTTTGCCTCCTCTACTATAAAAAAATGCAATGACAACGACAAAATCATCAATACTTTTAAATCATTACTCGAATCGAATGAATGAACGCGAACTTCCGTCTCGCTCGACGCTGCGGTTCGAATTGCGACGTTGCGACTGTTGCGAAGCTGCGCGATCGCATGACTGGATGCACGGAACCAGTGTTGCCAAGTCTAGACCGGTCCGAGTTGCCAAAAATTTGACGCCAAGTAGCCTAAATTCGCTTAATTTTTTTGTCCTGTAAAGTATCTTCAAATCGCCTACTCTTATGTCAGGTATGTAGCCTAACCTATAAAGGTTATTTTTAAACGTATACCTAACTTAATCGATCTTATTTTTAATTGTAACAGGATAAATAATGAAAATTCTTGTAAATGTATAGGAAAACGCCAAATAAAAAAATGTCTGTTTATTAATATTTCACAAACGAAATATTTTACTTACATATAAAGAGATAAATGAAGTAGAAGAAAATAATTTTGTGGCTGCGCTGTCGTCGCGCCACAAACAAAACGCACCGAAGCCTAAATCGCTCTATTAAAGTTCCGAAGCTACTGCGAACAGCTCCAAAATAATACACGGAGGGTTGGCCGCTCCCCCGGCCAAACACCTTGCCTCGTGGGTGTTCATGGCCAAGTAGTGATCCTAATGTTTTTCATCCACGGCCACAATTTCTCCAATAAAAGAACCTCATCTAAAATGCCTCCATAATCATCATTTCTTAACGATGGGCTAGAAGGACCAGTAACAGGGGTGGTAGAATTAGATTGAGTGTCAAGTTTTTGGTAGTGGAAGGCGTATTCACGCGACCAAGTTTTTACTCCACGGATTTATATGGATTTAGTTGAAAGAACGCCAAATTGCCATAAAATACTTAACAGTCTTAATTATCTTGCAGCAAATATCACTAATGGAAACACATTGATTTACATGATTATAAATCAATACATATATACACTGCCATGAATGTCGCGAAATAAGAAAAAAATAATTTCGCGGGCAACTCACAAAGCCGAATCATGTCTACTACTAAATAACTAACGATAAATCGTTCCGCGATCTACTCATCACTCAATTAAAGTGCCATGATCTTATACTCAAATAAAAATCATTAATGGTTTTCCGATTCTTAACCACTTTTAAAAATATTGATAGGCGTTTTCATATTTTTGCCAAAATTACCAGAAGTTACTTATTTTATTTATTATACGTACTTGACTAGACTTAGTTCTACTCTTGCATTTTGATTCTTAATTAGGAATAGATGTAGATGTCTATGGGCCACAGTCTTCACATATACATAAAATAGTTGTAATTCTTTACATTGTTATGCTGCAGTTATATTGGTAATATAGTTGTAGCACGAATGGGTCGGCTCGACCGGGGAAGGAGCACGCTCTCACAGAATACCAGCGTGAAATAGTAGTTTAATGCTGCTGTTTCCTATGGTGAATGTGTAGAAACGGAGAAACTTTTTTCTGAAAATGGGGCATTCTAACTTTGTCCGCACGGGTGACAACATACCTGCATTTTGATTCGTAATCGAGGATAGATGTAGATGTCTATGGGCCACAGTATGCACTTACCATCAGGTGGACTGTGTGCTCGTTTGTTACCCTTATCCTACTTTAAAAAAAGTTTTTACCATATTGTCTACTCATATTGGGAATTTTTCAAACTGTCTGGATGTTATAAATAATGCCTTATTAATTATTTGGTCCATAACAGGTACACTTGACTTGTTTAATTGCAGCGCTGAAGGCCGCGCGGCTTCGAACTCCACACGTAACAAGTATTTGTATGGCCTACAAATATTTGTTTCGGTTTTGGACATTTATTTGTCTTTGTATCATTTATGTATGTAAACTGCCACGATACAAGAGAAAATCGTATAGTGGACGTAACTTTTTTTTTAAATAGAGACTGTAATGTCAATAACAGTTTAAAAGGTTAGAAATAAAATAGAAGAGAAAAGACGATAATGCATGGTATAAACTTTTATGCATAGAAACTAGTGATTCAAATCATGTCTTTATATTAGATTGTTTCTTAAAAAATAAACTACTTATAAGGAAACAAATCATCACCATAACAGAACTATCTCCTTAGTCTATTAAACATTTCTCTTGCATCTCTAGTAAAGACTACATCATCAGCTCGCTGCCTCCAATCTACGACTTCCTCATGGAGTGTGTTCAGTGCTGACAGCTGGGCTTGCAGAGCTTTGGGTAAAACAGAATCTGGTACTGAAAGCTTCGAAAACTTCATCTGTGAAAACAAACATTTGCATTACTTAATATTAACCAATTGTATGATATACAGGATTATTTTTAAAGAGTAGTCAATTTTTTTACTTAAGTTCAAATATATAAGTAAAGATATACTGTTGTTGCAATTCTTGAAAATAGGAGTAAATAAGGCCTCTACTTTTATTAGAAATTATTTCAAATTTATTGAGATTTATAGATTTATGGGCAACAACTACGTATACTACACGCGCTACTGCGTGTGCGATTCAATTCACAAAGACTTTGCCTACTGTTTACCTTCCAAGTTGTCATCTCAATGCTTAAATTAACAATTACTCGAAGGTAATTTTGATTCCAATGTTCTCTTCACTCTTTTAGCGGACTCAAATGAAATAAGAATATTTTTTTATATATATATATATATATATATATATATATATATATATATATATATATATATATATATATATATATATACATATATCATATAACGACGTAAAAGATGGCTGTTATTATTATGAAATTTTGTGTCAGTGATTAAGTTGATTCGAGAATGGAATAATTTCACAATTAGACTCAGTAGGCAGCGCTGTTGTCTAAATCCAGAAATCACATGTCATGCGAAGCCGGGAAGGAACGCTAGTGATATATAATATTAATAGGGCCTTGTACTAGTAACGAGTGAAATTAATTGGTGTACTACCTCACGAGTGTAACTTGAGTGCCCTTGGTACGATAATTTGCAATGTTCGAAATGGAGGATATATATTCTGGAATAGTTCCAGGGCTAAGCACTTTCTGTAAATTTTACAGTACACGAGAAGGCGGACTTGATCTGGGATGAAATTGTATGTAACAATTTTAATTGCTGATTTACCACGTGCTCGACAATGAAGGATAACATCTTGAGGAAGCCTGCACTCTGTGAAATAAAAAAATCTTTCGAAAACATGTCCACTAAAACGCATTATGATATGTGGTGGACACTTTCTTGCCCTACAAACCCTCTAAAAATTAAAGGAAGGCTGTGCCCACCAGTGGTAGATATGTAGGCTGTAACTTTAATTTTATGTGCTGATTTAATACATGCTCGGCAGTGAAGGAAAATATTGTGAGAAAAACAGTGTGATGAAGAATAAAATATTTCAAAAACACGTGAAGTCCGTAAATACGCTTCAGTGCGTATTTACGGACTTCATTGCATTGCGCCGGACTAATAGCTTTATATCTCTCTAGGAAATGAGAGGTGGCCTGTGCTTAGATGCTGATACGTAATTTCGTCCAGGTCCAGACCGAATTGCGTTCGCGGCGACCGGTCTCAATGGAGACTTTGTACACGTAATAGAGCCATGCTGTAGCTATATTATGGATGTAGCACGAATTGGTCGACTCGACCAGGGAAAGACCACACTCTCACAGAATACCACCGTAAAATAGCAGCTTAATGCAGCTGTTTCGTATGGTGAGTGTAGAGAACCAGAACTCCTTTTACTGGAAATAAGGCATTCCATCTTAGGCCTTAGGGGTGACAATGTATTGGCATTTTGATTCTTATTCAAGGATAGATCTAGATTTCTATGGGTTGTAGCATTCACTTACCATCAGGTGGAGTGTGTGCTCATTTATCACCCTTATTCTATAAAAGAAAGACTAGTCATCTGCTCAGGACAGGATTACAGTGTCAGAATGTGCAACTCCCTCACTCTCATAGTACTGTGACTGTGATGAGTTTTACGGATTAATGATGCGATGATGATTACTTAGTGTATAATTTATAATGTAGATCTCTCTCAGATCTAATATTTGCAACCAACAACATGGTTTATGTTTATATTGGTGCATTCAGCAGCAAATTCTTATGCTTTTAATGTGTGTGTCAAGAAATTGAGCATGGTTTTGGTGTCACTTAAAATCTACAGAGCTCCATCTAATATCTCATATTCCAACATAATATATCAACGTATTACCGTACCGTGGCCTTATTACAGCTCTCTTCATAGGAGAGCACTCTTTGTTTCATCTGCTTGATGTGGTCCTGTATATTCTCCGGGTTGGGCGTCTGGCTTGCTAAAGAACATCTCGAGCAATTCAATTCCTTCCTCAAGTTGTCTAAGAATTTGCTGTTACGGTCTATTTGCGTTTGTAGTTCTGTATTTTTATGTTTAAGTTTTAGTATTTCATACTCTTCGTTAAGTTTCCTCGAGATTTGCAGTGACTGTTGCAACGATATTGCGACAGGGTCGAGCTGATCTATATCCACTTCTAGCTGATTACAAGCAACTAATTTTAATAGTTCTTGACATTTCTGTGGTAAGGCATCAATGGATATGTTCAGTTTTGACAAAATTTCTGTTGTGGTGGTCGCTGAAAACAGTTAAGTACAATAAATAATATAATGTTATTCAGATCAAATACCAGTCACAGGGGCCAGTCTCAACGGAGATAAGCCATGTGCATGTAATTGGATTATAGTGAACCAGTGTGTATTCAAACAGAGGAGGTATCAGGTGCACTCTCTATTCCTACTCTCCTAGTCAGATGGGACGATAATTCGACACAAATGGAGAGATCACGCGCAGAACCAACAACACATACCGACTGGTGAAACACCACCAACTACCTGACTCTGGGCTGTGTACTGAGAATTTCTTAGCAGAAAAATATATTAACAGATTTTGGCCCGACTCGGGATTCGAATCCGAGACCTCATGATCAGTAAATGCGTTAGGACCACTAAACCAACGAGACAGTCAAATACATAACATAACATAAACACTCACGCCTATCACCCAGAGGGGTAGACAGAGACCACAGACTTCCATTTGGCACGATCCTGACACACCTCTCTCGCGTCCTCCACATCTATATACCTACTCATTCAGTTTAGGGTCTCACTCTTGATTTGGCCCATTTTCAATATATCGCCAATTTGGTCGATAAACTTTCGCCTAGGACATCCCTTTCCGACTCTGCTGTTCACTTCTGCAACATAAATTTGCTTTGTAACTCTTTCCTCATTCATTCTTTCCACATGACCAAACCACCGAAGCATTCCTTTCTTAATCCTAGTCACAACATCATCTTGCAAACCACACTTCTCTTATCACACAATTTCTCACCCTGTCACTCAGATTCGGCACTAACATACTCCTTAACAACCGAATTTCTGCTGCGTTTATTATACTCTCGTGCTTTCAAATATAGTGAACAAACATAATATAACAGTTGACTGCTATATTGTGTTTGTGTCAAATGCAACATAAAATTTGTCAGCATGTGGTTGACTTACTTTTAAGTATTTTTTTCAAATTCCATATCAACATTATCAAAATGGAACATGACATATGGTATCCACTACCATTAACATTACAGCCTATCAAAAGTCCATGTCTATAATTTCTAAGGTTTTCCCCATAGATTGCCTGATGGAAGGATATTTGCTCCATTGCCACACTTGGCGAACAATAGATTGTTTTTTAGCAGGAAGATGCCACTGCTAATTCCCTGGTTTCGTTTTTTTATTTTTTATAGGATAGGAGGAGACAAACGAGGATACAGCTCACCTGATGGTAAATGACTACCGCCGCCCATGAACAACTGCAACACCAGGGCAATTGCAGGTGCGCCGCCGGCCTTTTAGAAAGGAGTAAGCTCTTTTCTTGAAGTTTCCTTCTTTTGCCTTTTACGTTTGGTGGATATTCTTGCACTGCCACTTTGCGGTGTCATAGCACAATGGAATCACTTGAGATACTTGATATAATTGGTTTCTAAATAAATAGTTTGTTTTCTAAATTATAATAATCTTCATCATCAGCTAATAACATCCCACTGCTGGACAAGGGCCTCTCCCCTTATCTTATTATATTCCCAGATTAATCTTAATAATTGTCACACTAAGCAAGTGGATACACAATTACAGTACCAGACGTCTTGCACCCTTGATGCTAAGGCACGTCTCTATTATGAGTATTTCACAAATGACGCGTAAATATAAGGTTATATAGTCTACTAGCTTGCCAGGCAGACGTTGTTCTTCCCCGTTTCGACGACCCTTTGTCATGTCCTATTAAAAATCCTTATATTAGCAAAAATAAAAATTGTGGGTCACTCATGGGCAAAAAAAAACTATCCTATCTCTCAAGTTGGACCAAACTGCACACGGTGTGCAAATTTGATTAAAATCGGTTAAGTAGTTTAGGAGTCCATTGCGTACAAACAATGTGACACATGATTTATATATATTAAGGTAAGATTTTTCCGTCATTTATTCTTAATGTTTATCTTTGCATGTAAACTGCATCCATAATACAGAAGAAAATCCTAGCACAGTAGTTTTTCTAAAAAAAATCCCATAAGTCAGAAGACGTTAAAACTCTCATACACCACTACATCAGGGAATTAAATAAAATATTTTTAAATTTAATCCCGAAATAGAAAGTATAGTACCAACCTAATTAAAAAACTGTAATATTAAGTTGTCATGTAACAAGACATACATAATATAAATTTTTTTACAACAATTTTTTGATGTGAATGAGTTGAACAACTGCTTCATCATGAGGCACAAACACTGCTTGCCCCGCAGATACACCTGCAGATATTTGGTACATCTAATACTATTTATAATCACGAATAATAAGAATAAGTAAAACTTCATAGTATAGAAACATTAAGGTTTTTGTATTTAGAGGGCCACCATTTTGAAATCTCGTGCCACTTAAAAATTTTGCTATGGCCAAAATATGAAAGCGTAAAATAGCAGCTTAATGCTGCTGTGTTTTGTACGGCAGAGTCAGGAAGGGACGCCCTAGAAGAAAGTTTATCGACCAATTTGGCGATATTAAGAAAATGGGCCACATTATAAGTACCCCTTAACCGACAAGCATGTATGCGTAGATATATGGATGTAAAGGAGGCGAAAGAGGTATATCAGGATTATGCCAAATGGAAGTCCTTAGTCTCTGCCTACCACTCTGGGTGACAGGCGTGAGTGTTTATGTTATGTTGTTTCATATGGTGAGTATAGAGAACCTTAGACTCTATTTACTGGATACAAGGTATTCCATCTTATTCCTCATGGGGTGACAATGTTGACACTTGATTACATGTGATTAGGTGACTATGGACCACAGCATCTATTCACCATCAGATGGACTAAATGCTTGTTTGTCACCCTCATTCTATACTAAAACCTTGGCTTTGAAACTATTTTGTATTTGCTGACTGCCACTTAAAAGAAAAAAAACTTCATACAATAATAAAAATCAAAACCCACTAAGAATATTTTTATTTATTTATAATAGGTATTTGTTTATTTATAAATAACAAACAATAGTAAACAAATACTAATAAAACTGCCTATTTTATGGAGTCTAAGCTTGGGAATTTAACAATATTTTCAATTCTTTTAGCAACATTTAACAATAACTGTTCGGACATATTGGGACCCATCAGTTGAAGGGAAAGTGGTAAGTTACTCTTAGATAAACGAATTGGTATAGACACAGCTGGAATACCAGCCATGTTAGCTGGCTGCGTACAATAATCTTGTAAAGCACATTGGTCTCTATTATGTTTGGACACAAAATCTCCATATAATGGTGCATCACTTAGTGTAGTCGGAGTCAAAAGTAAATCTACACGATTATCACCATTGAATACATTATTAAAATCATTTGCTATAAGCCTTCGTAACTTTAGAGCTTTTAGAAAATATTTCTCGTAATTCCTCGTAAGTAAGAAATAATTTCCGGCAAAGATCCGTGACCTGACAACATTGTTAAAGCCTTGAGATCTTGAGGAAGCATAAAGTTCTTCTGTTGAATAGTCTTCATTTGTTCTTAACCCAAACTCTAAACCATCATATCTAGCCATATTACTGGCAACTTCGCATTGGTTTAATATTGAATATACAGCAATGGAGACTGATGTATGGGGTAAGGTGACACTTTTTAAAAGGACCTTTTCATTTTCAAGCAAATCAGCTACCCACCTCCATGTATCAATGACCTCTTCACTCATACCCTCACAATAGTATTCACTAGGTATACCAATTCTTAAATTTGACAAATTAAAGTTCTCCTGTATTTCTATAGGCTGGTATTTTCTTTTTATAGTTGTTGAATCCAAATCATCCTGACCAGCAATGCAATTTAATATTTCAGCTGCATCATCTATGTTTCTAGCTAGAATTCCTGGCACATCCATAGAGTTCACCAGAGGTATGAGGCCGTATCTTGATACTAAGCCATATGTTGGTTTAATACCTACAACACCACACAATGCAGCAGGATTTCTAGTAGAACCTCCAGTGTCAGAGCCAATAGCAGCTATACAGGCTCCACTGCTGACAGCTACAGCACTTCCTCCTGAGCTGCCACCTGCGATTCTCCAATCAGTTTCACCGTTATAGCCCCAAGGATTGCGAGTAGGACCAAAGATGGAATCAACTGTTCCAGAGCCCATTGCAAACTCATCTAAGTTACTTTTCCCAATGAGACAAGCACCGTTATTTATTAATTTAGCGTAAACCGTAGCATCGTATGTTGGAACGAAGTTTCTCAACATTTCCGAAGCGCAAGTGGTAGTTACGTTTTTGGTACAAAAATTATCCTTAATGGCTATTGTTATCCCATCAAGCGGTTTTATTTTCTTGTCTATATAAAAGCGTTTTTCACTATCAATCGCATGGTTTTCGGCTACGTCTTCAGTTATATTCACAAATGCATTTAATTCACTAGTTTGCCTCACCTTTTGCAAACACAAATCCACGAAACTCGTTGGAGTCAAAAGCTTATCACGATAAGCCCTATGAACTTCTTTTATTGTATACGATGTTAGTTTATTCATTTTAAATATTTAATAAATAATGAAATACCAGTTAAATTTGTAACGTTAGGTTACAAACATTTTATGACAGTAGACACAAATACGACCAAGTTACGAATGTAGTTAAACCGAGAGATATTGGCAATTTATCAAGACGTTTAAAAATTTGTCAATTAGATTCTAACTTGATATGAAATACTAACTCACCAGTTGCCAACTGCTCCTGTTTATCTTTTAATAATATGTTTTCAAGTAAACTCGAATATACTTCATTCTTTGTATCGTCCATTGTTATATTTTTATTTTAACGGAGCGCCGGAATTTAAATTTGTTGATGTTATCACATAGATAAATAAATGGGTGCGTTCGGCAGAAAAAAGCGCTAGCAAGCGCTTGTAAGCAAAATGGCGATCGTAAGCGGTAAGTACGCTGTCAAATCGTAAGTAGCGCGTGTGCTTTTGCATTTGACCTATTTTCCTCCAGGACACGATGTTAGGTGACTTTTAACCGGGGAAAAGTTCTAATCCTAATTTAAATATATGTTTGTATAAGTATTCATATTAAAAACTTTTTACCAATCATGAGTTTTTAGATAGCATGTATATTGTTTATTCATGTCATTATATTACTTAAAAATTGCACAAAACATACTTATAAATCTCTTGTACTTCAAAACAAACAAATTAAATAAGCAAACATGGCGGATTGTGTCGAGCGCTACCTGAAGTAGCAATTGTGTCCTGGCCGAAAAACTATTTTCAAAAGCGCTTGATAAGCGCTTGCTAGTCGCTTTCGTTTCTGCCAAAGCGCAACCCACCGTATATGTATATTTTATTGTTAACGGAACGCCGGATATTTACTTATCGTTTTTATTACGATTTGCCAGTTAAAGCATATAAAGGTGTTGGACCATACAGTCAAGTGTTGCCACCTTGCAGAAAAATGTATCACTAGTTATGGTCTGAAATTTCACCAAATTTTGGTGATATTTTTAACTAAAAAAATACCTAGAATTCACCAAACTATTTAAAATCAAATCACAAGGTAAGTAATAAAAAATACTATTTTAATTGTGAAAGTAATGACAAAAAACGTAACATATAAATTCGAGACAGTATCCTGGTCACAGTTTCTTTAACGGACAGCCAACGAGTATCACAAGAGCGCAATGTTTTTAAAAGATTCTCGCCACAGTTTATCGTCTCATAAGTCTCATCTTTGTACTCAACGCAGCGTTTGAGTGAATGTGAGAACCAATTATAAGTTTCTCTAATGAGAAAATCTATATTTCGTGGTAACGTTTGCTCTGACGCATGTGAAACAGTTAATTGCAACGAGTGGCACATTTGACTAGAATTAAACTAGGTACGCCATTATTGATTTGAGTCATGATAGAGACATTATCCATCCCAATTCCAATTAAGTTTTTTTTAATAGGATAAGGTGACAAATGAGCACACAGTCCAACTGATGGTGAGTGGCTGCTGTGGCCCATAGACATCTACATCTATCCTCGATTACAAATGAAAATGCAGATTCGTTGTCACCCGTGAGGAGTAAGCTGGAATGCCTAATTTCCAGTAAAAAGGGTCTCCGGTTCTCTACACTCACCATACGGAACACAACAGCATTAAGTTACTATTTGGCGCTGGTATTCTGTGAGAGCGTGGTCCTTCCCCGCTCGAGCCGACCCATTCGTGCTACAACTATACTACTAATATAACTGCAGCATGGCTCTACCACGTATAATTATTAACGTTTCTATTAGAAGACCATGTAAACAGTTTACAAAGGCAAAAACGTAAAAATTCCACAAGATCCGTATTTCTCATTAATTCTAATGCTAGAAATGCGGATACAAATAAATAATAGACACTTCACAAAAGCATTCGAAATAGAATGATTTCAATACTAAAACTACTCATCGTATTACGACCTACTTTTGCGAACGAAGAATGGCAAATAATTAAATACAAGCAACAGTATTCAGCATCCTCTGAAACCCCTCACGTCCACCCTCAGTCCCGGGATGTAAACACCAGCGCTCCTAAAAAATAAGTATAATTCCGCGTCTAGGTCCTTCAAAAGAGTCACTGACAAGCAGACTAGACAGAATTGGCGAGAAACTAGATCGCCTTCCTTCTGGAACCCGTGCATTCTGGTCTCTCGCCAAGGCTGTCCAGGGGAATTTCTGTCAGCCATCTCTTCCATCTCTGCACAGGGAGGACGACTCACTGGCCCATACCGAAAAGGAGAAAGCCGTTCTGCTAGGCTCTTTCTTTGCGTCCAACTCGACTCTCGATGACGGGGGGAGTATACCGCCGACTATCCCGCGGTGTGAGTGCTCCATGCTGGAAGTGCAGTTCACACAGCGCTCGGTTCGCATAGCACTACTCTCCAGGACATCCACAAGTCGAGTGAGCCTGACGGAATCCCCCAATTGTGCTGAGGACGTGTGCTCCAGAGTTGGCACCGGTTTTAATCCGTCTCTTTCGGTGCTCCTACTCCCTAGGCGTAGTCCCGAAATCATGGAAAACAGCTTTTGTCCACCCGATCCCTAAAAAAGGCGACCGCTCAGATCCGCCCAACTACCGGCCTATCGCCATCACCTCCTTGTTCTCCAAAACAATGGAGTCTATTGTTAACTGCCAGCTCATGAAGTATCTTGAGGATCACCAGCTGATTAGTGACCGCCAATACGGCTTTCGCCGTAGTCGATCAGCTGGTGATCTTCTGGTCTACCTAACTCACAGATGGGCGGAGGGAGTAGAGTCCAAGGGGGAGGCATTGGCCGAAAGTATGAACATTGCGAAGGCCTTCGATCGGGTTTGGCACAAAGCGCTTCTTTCGAAGCTCCCTTCCTATGGGCTTCCCGAGAAATTGTGCGATTGGACCACCAGCTTTCTTGCAGATCGGAGCATCAAGATCGTTGTAGACGGTACAAGCTCCGATTACAAGCCTATTAATGCTGGTGTTCCACAAGGCTGCGTGCTACAGCCGACTGTCTGAAGACTGACCGCTGTTTCTTCTGCATATCAATGATATGTTGCAAACCCGTAACATTCATTGATATGCAGATGACAGCACTGGTGATGCTCTGTACAACGGCCGTGCCAATATTTCTCGGGAAAACGTCTCCGAGTACCGGGACAAACTTGTGTCAGAAGTCGAGTCTCTGCTTAACACAGTCTCGGATTGGGGGCGACTGCAACTTTACAAGGCGCAGGTTCGGCTGCACATGGAATACTGTTCCCATCTCTGGCCTGGGGCTCCCCAGTACCAGCTCCTTCCACTTGACCGCATCCAGCGCAGAGCGGCTCGAATCTTCGATGACCGAGTGCTTTCCGATCGGCTCGATTCACTGGCGCTGCGAAGAGATGTTGCATCTCTTTGCATTTTCTTCGCATATACCATGGGGAGTGCTCTGAGGAATTATTCGGATTAATCCCAGCCGCAACATTTCGTGAACGCACTACGCGGCAAACGTCTCGATACCATTCACACCATCTGGATGCTTGGCGGTCCACTACTGTACGTTTCAAAAGGAGTTTTCTTCCGCGTACGACCTCTCTGTGGAATAGTTTACCACCGGCGATTTTTCCGGACCGATACGACCTGGGGACCTTCAAGAAAAGAGCTTACTCCTTTTTAAAGGGCCGGCAACGCACCTGCAATTCCCCTGGTGTTGCGGTTGATCGTGGGCGGCGGTAGTCACTTAACCTCAGGTGAGCCGTATACTCGTTTGCTCCTCTTCTATAAAAAATAGCCCTTATTTCTACTACAATTAACTTGAAATAAGATTAATATAGGTTATAATAGTATAGCTAATATGTATTTTTTCTAGTTATATGTATAAATATGTATACTGTGTATATGTATGACTTAATATTAATAGTATTTGCCTCTGCGACGTAGGCCTCTCCTAAACCTTTTCGTACATCTCTGTAGGGGTCCACATATTTGATTAAAGATGTCTCTCCACCTTTTACTTGGTCTCCCTTTTTTCTTTTTCTGTCTCTTGTTACCCATTCTGTTAGACGTTTAGTCCATCCGTTATTATTCATCTTACATATATATAATAATATACTATTCTTTTTAATTCTTTGAAATTGGTTGTTACTTTTTATAACAGTTTATTTTTTGACCCTTTTGATTGCGTTAATTATTATCACATGCTTAAGATAACAACCAGAATATCAGAATATCGTCCTAAAAGTTACGTCAAATTTTCATCCCCGAGGGTGGATTTGTTTTAATTTAATGTGGTCCCAACTACATATATAGGGGTATAGATTAATTAATAAAAATCTAATTCTACGTCTTTTTTGCTACTAGGACGAGGCAATTTGTCATAAGCTGAAATATTTCACAGATCTTATAGCGGGAAAGTTAATGTGTTAGTAAAGCGTAAAAATTAATAATTATTTCCTTTTATATTTTTGAAATATTAGTTATTATTAGTATTCATTACATAAGAAATAGATAAAAAAATACGGATAGTTCAAAAAGTAGAAGAAATATATATTTTTAAATTGTAAAAAATTAAAAAACACACCACTGAGGCTTCATTTTTTTATGTACATACATACATAAATATTAGGTCTTTACCTATAAAATTGCTATTTTTTATGAAATAAGTTAATTTTTAAAAATCAAAACAATCACTCATGTAATCGACGCATCTTTGCCAACGCAGTGGCAGCTTATTGATGCCCTTCTTAAAGCAATCAGCTGGACGAGAGGTAACAAATTTTTCAAAGGCCTCTCGGGTATTGAATTTTTTTCCCGCTAAAAACTATCCAAATTCTGGAAAATGTAATAGTCTTTAGGCGCAAGGTCCGGTGAGTACGGTGGATGACGAAGAGCTTCCATCCTCAGCTCTTGTAACTTGGAGACCGTCAGTTGTGCAGTATGAGGTCATGCGCTGTCGTGCAGGAGCAGCGGGGACGAGCGAATGATCAAAGCTGGTTGGAGACGTGCGAGCTTCTCCATCATTATGTTTAATTGTTCACAGTACACAT